GTTATTATTCTGACAAGTTTATCCTAGGACATCGGGTGCAAGGGTAAATGCTTTGCTCTTAACCACTTGAGCTACGAACCCCTTATCCATTAAGAGTATATATTCTTAGACATTATATAAGCATGTATTTGTATTAATCCATGTACATTTATCTTTCTTGTATGTTATAATTAATCAAGAGTTTCTATAGCTAATTGCTGGTTTCACAGTTGAATTTCCAGATGGGGATCCCATGAAACTTAGACAATCTTTTGGTCCATCCAATGAGTTCATCAAATCCCTCCACCAAAACAACAAGCCTGATATGCTCATCCACAGAAAGAATGCATTGCTAAATGAAGCCCAACTTCTAGCCTCTTGTGCCTTCGAAAATGGCACCGAATGGGGGGAAGAGGCAAGTACAATTACTATTAAAACCATGCCCATTGTATCATTCAACTTAATAATAATAATAATAATAATAATAATAATAATTGTGGTCTTTCTTTCATTTATGGCAGGTTGGTTTCATGTATGGGTCTGTGGCGGAAGATTACTTCACAGGGTTTCGTTTGCATTGCAAAGGTTGGATTTCAGTGTATTGTAATCCACCAAGGCCACAGTTCTTGGGCAGTGGCACCACCAACTTGGATGACTTTTTAGTCCAAGGGACTAGATGGACCTCTGGGTTGGTTGATGTTGCTATCTCCAAGTTTTGTCCTCTTATATATGGCCCTTTGAAAACGTACACTTTCGTTCAAAGCATGTGTTATGCAGAACTTGCTCTTTTCCCCATTTTCTATTTCTTGCCATTGTGGTGCTTTGCTACCATACCTCAGCTCTGCCTACTCAATGGTATTCCTTTGTACCCAGAGGTAATTAAAGTTTTTTATATAAATATTTCTTCCTATCAAATATCTTTTGCGCAAATGATTCAAGATACAGAGTACTTATCTTTAAAGAAATTCTTATATATAATAAAATAAATATATCTTTTGTCACACTATCTGACGACAAAGACTGTGAATCTGAACTATTGATACCAGTTAAAAGCCTCAATAGTTATGGATGTTTGGTTGTTATTGGCCCCTAATTGAGCACATATACGGGTTCCTATACTAACTAAATGACACAAACAATTATAAGTAGGGACATGTATCTATGCCCATTTAGAAGGCAATAACCACTAAATATCCGTGAATATTGAGGTCATTTTTACTAGTGCGAGTAGGTTTATTCTTGATTGAGTGTGTGGATCACATACACAGTTTCACAATCTCACAATATAAACAAATATATATTAGTAAATTTGACTCTTCCCCTTCAAATTAATATTTTCTAATCTACAACCCATTGTTTTATTTTTCTATATATAAAACCCAATTTTTATAAGAAAAACCCGATGACTAGGATCCAACTCATCAAGTTCCCGAATCAAGTTTAATGTGTTAAATGTTATATTTTAAAATTTCCTATAATACCCTTGATTACATTTTTAATGTGATTTGTTTAAGAAATTAGCCGCAATTCAATGCCTATTAATTGTGTTTCAATTTTGTATAGATTTCAAGGATTTAATGGGTCAGTTTTTTCCTTATTTAAAAAAAAGTAATTAAAGCTTGGTGTAATTACTGCCGTATGGTTTGAATATACTCGTTCCTCCTATAGAAAACTAAGAATATACTCGTTTAAAAATAATAAAAAATTGACTACTTGATCATTTCGTATTTTAATTTTCAAATTGATAGCTTATTTATTTCCTTTTATTTATACCAATTTCCAAATTTAATAATTGTTATGGTTTGAAATTAATTTGTTCAAAGGGAAATAACATGTTGCTCTCTATTTGACCCCTATGTGTTTAGGTACATGAATTTACCTACATTTTCTCTTAGCAACCTATGCCTCTACATTTACCTATATGCATTTATAGGTATATTGTAAAATAATTTACCTATGGGTAAATAATGTACCTATATTTTCTATGGGTAAATATGGGTAAATAATGTACCTATTGGATAAAATATTAATTACAATTATGGCAGTTAATGAAATGCTTGAAATAAATTATAAATAAAATATGAAGTCTTGTGGCAACAATGTAAAATCATAGGAATATTGTGACCTCTTATATCCAACTAGTCATTTAAGTTTGAAATTGGGTTTTACACATAGATTTATAAAGTGATGGATATATGTCTAGGAAATAGAAAATGTAGGGACCTATATTGAACAAGCCCTATAAATATTTATCTTGTAGTCAACCATTCTATTCTACCGCCCTCATAAAAAAATAACTCTCGTCATAAAATCTTCAATTTGATTTAGTGTCATGCAATATCCTAATACATATTGGTCTTGTTCTTGGATTTGCAGTTCTCAAATTCATACTTCATCGTATTTTCGTTTGTATTCCTATCGTCGATTTCGAAACATTTGTACGAGGTTCTCTCAACGGGATTTACATTTCGACATTGGATAAATGAGCAAAGGATATGGATGATGAAGTCAATAACATCTCGCTTATATGGCAGTGTGGATGCCTTAATGAAGAAAATTGGTATGAGAGAAGCCAGTTTTTTCCCAACCAACAAAGTTGACGATGCTGAGCAACTCAAGCGTTACAATATGGGGGTGTTTGATTTCCAAACATCAATATTATTTCTTGCTCCAATGGCTGCTCTGGTGATCTTGAACATTGCTTCCTTTGCTGTTGGGATTTCTAGAGTCATCTTTTTGGGGGAGTTGGACAAATTTTTCATACAAGTATTCATACCCTTTTATGTCATTTTGATGAACTATCCTATCGTTGAAGGGATGCTGATAAGGAAAGACAGTGGTCGCATTCCACCATCAGTCACATTACTCTCTGCCATAGTTTCCTTGATTTTCTATTTTTTGGGTTGTATTATTTTCATGTAGCAAGGACAACAGGGCCATGGCCGGTGTCCATGATATTTCCATTTTTCTAAGTTAATAATATGTTTTGTATGCTTTTATTGTTCTTATTATTATTTTTTAATACAAGCAATAGTCAATTATACGGGGAATGAGGTTTCTCGCACACACACTACTAAGGTGTCAAGATGGTTCAAACCTAACACACCCCAATATCTTCAGCGCCCATTCTTCTTTCGCTGTGGACCGTCATCTTTGGGTGGTCATGCCGTTCATGTCCGCCGTGTCGCTCTAATCCATAATCTCCTCTGCTTTCCTCGAAGGCCTACCGGATCCCTGCATTGCTGTCGTCCTCATGGAGACACTGAACGCCATGTTGTATCTTCATGATCAAGGGCACCTCCACAGAGACATCAAGGCTGGTAATATCTTGATTGACTCCAATGGGTCGGTGAAAGTTGCAGAGTTTGGGGTTTCTGCTTCTGTTTATGAGGCCAATTCGAGTGGAGAGTCATCGATTCGGTTAAACGACATTGCTGGGATGCCGTACTGGATGGCGCCTGAGGTGATACACTCGCACAATGGGTACGGATGCAAGGCGGATGTATGGTCTTTTGGGATCACAGCTCTGGAATTGGCTCATGGGGGGCCTCACCTGTCTAACTTGCCTCCTTCAAAGTCTCTGCTTTTGAAGATCACGAAGCGGTTTCGGTTTTCGGATTATGAAAATAGTCACGACAATAATTACAAGAGCAAGAAGTTCTCTAAGGCCTTTAAAGACTTGGTGGGTTGTTGCCTTGATCAGGACCCGAACAAGAGGCCCACTGCAGAGAGGTTGCTTTGCAACTGATTAGGCATGGTTGCTATGGAATGAAGACAAATCCTTGGAACTATTAGACAAATCCTTGGAACTATTGGACAAATCCTTGGAACTATTGGACAAATGCTTGAAAGAATACTGCATTTAATCTCAAGTACTTAGATGCATTCATGTGGGTTTATTATGTGTTCAGAAATTCCCAGCAGACAGGCCAGGAATGTCATCTGCAGTTTTCATGTTGGCGAACGAGGGAGCAAGTTTGGCTTGGCCTAAACAACCTGCTTTCTTTCTGGAAAGATGCTCCATTGATTTGGAGGCAAGGACAAGAAGGAACAATTTTATACAGAAAATGAAATAACCACATCAATGGAAGGTCGATAAAACATGATCTTTTTGTGATACTTCCAGTTTTTATGTTATCTTGTTTGTTATAGGATCTAGTTGTAATGCCAATAGGGAAAGAGGACTAATGAAGAACCTATATTGTTATTCAGTGCATAAAACATGATCTGAATGTTCAAAGTCTTGGCAATTCTAGAATTTTATTTCTCTCTGTCTTTGTTTTTGTTTTCTTTTATACCAAATCAATTGTATAACTCAATTATCATTTTATATATTCTTGTGTTCAGAAGGTTTGGTGGGCTGGAACAAGATGGTTTCCGCGATGGAGAAGGTGTGATGCTCTGAGACTGTTTTAGTTGCTTTGCCTGTCTGTCTGTTTAGAATCTGTGTGTTAGTCTCTTTGCTTTGGGTGTTTGGTCCCCTTTCTACATCAGATGAAGGGCATTTCTTTCATCTTCCATGTCTCTCTGCTCCGATATTTTGTCTTGAATTCGTCCAACTTTTTCGATTTACCCTTCTAAAATTAATTTTACAATAGTACTAAAATACCAACAAACAATGGAAAGGTTGACCAGTAATAGGTGAAGGAAGAAGCCTCACTGGAAACTCAATTCCCATTACAACCATTGAAGCTAGATAATAATTGGCGTATGGACCTCCTCGACTAGGTCAAGGGTTCTATTTTCCACTCCATGTACATGAGATGGAGAGTTTCTCACACACACTACTATGATGTCATAGAGGTTCGAACCTGCTACTACTAGTCTGCAAGTTAATACCCATATCTTTTATTCACTAAAGAATTCTACTGCTTTTGCGTTCAAATTAGGCGTTCTATAGAGTGGAGCCATAATATGGAAGAAATTTCACCAATAATGTGTTTGATAATGACCAGAGCTAAGCCCAACAAGTTTGGGTTGAACCTAGCCTAGCCTAGCCTAAGCTCAACATAATTTAAGCCCAATATGTTTCGACAACATTCGACGTGAAACCTAGAAGCTCTCTCTTCTCTCACACCCCAATATCTTCAGCGCCCATTCTTCTTTCGCTGTGGACCGTCATCTTTGGGTGGTCATGCCGTTCATGTCCGCCGTGTCGCTCTAATCCATAATCTCCTCTGCTTTCCTCGAAGGCCTACCGGATCCCTGCATTGCTGTCGTCCTCATGGAGACACTGAACGCCATGTTGTATCTTCATGATCAAGGGCACCTCCACAGAGACATCAAGGCTGGTAATATCTTGATTGACTCCAATGGGTCGGTGAAAGTTGCAGAGTTTGGGGTTTCTGCTTCTGTTTATGAGGCCAATTCGAGTGGAGAGTCATCGATTCGGTTAAACGACATTGCTGGGATGCCGTACTGGATGGCGCCTGAGGTGATACACTCGCACAATGGGTACGGATGCAAGGCGGATGTATGGTCTTTTGGGATCACAGCTCTGGAATTGGCTCATGGGGGGCCTCACCTGTCTAACTTGCCTCCTTCAAAGTCTCTGCTTTTGAAGATCACGAAGCGGTTTCGGTTTTCGGATTATGAAAATAGTCACGACAATAATTACAAGAGCAAGAAGTTCTCTAAGGCCTTTAAAGACTTGGTGGGTTGTTGCCTTGATCAGGACCCGAACAAGAGGCCCACTGCAGAGAGGTTGCTTTGCAACTGATTAGGCATGGTTGCTATGGAATGAAGACAAATCCTTGGAACTATTAGACAAATCCTTGGAACTATTGGACAAATCCTTGGAACTATTGGACAAATGCTTGAAAGAATACTGCATTTAATCTCAAGTACTTAGATGCATTCATGTGGGTTTATTATGTGTTCAGAAATTCCCAGCAGACAGGCCAGGAATGTCATCTGCAGTTTTCATGTTGGCGAACGAGGGAGCAAGTTTGGCTTGGCCTAAACAACCTGCTTTCTTTCTGGAAAGATGCTCCATTGATTTGGAGGCAAGGACAAGAAGGAACAATTTTATACAGAAAATGAAATAACCACATCAATGGAAGGTCGATAAAACATGATCTTTTTGTGATACTTCCAGTTTTTATGTTATCTTGTTTGTTATAGGATCTAGTTGTAATGCCAATAGGGAAAGAGGACTAATGAAGAACCTATATTGTTATTCAGTGCATAAAACATGATCTGAATGTTCAAAGTCTTGGCAATTCTAGAATTTTATTTCTCTCTGTCTTTGTTTTTGTTTTCTTTTATACCAAATCAATTGTATAACTCAATTATCATTTTATATATTCTTGTGTTCAGAAGGTTTGGTGGGCTGGAACAAGATGGTTTCCGCGATGGAGAAGGTGTGATGCTCTGAGACTGTTTTAGTTGCTTTGCCTGTCTGTCTGTTTAGAATCTGTGTGTTAGTCTCTTTGCTTTGGGTGTTTGGTCCCCTTTCTACATCAGATGAAGGGCATTTCTTTCATCTTCCATGTCTCTCTGCTCCGATATTTTGTCTTGAATTCGTCCAACTTTTTCGATTTACCCTTCTAAAATTAATTTTACAATAGTACTAAAATACCAACAAACAATGGAAAGGTTGACCAGTAATAGGTGAAGGAAGAAGCCTCACTGGAAACTCAATTCCCATTACAACCATTGAAGCTAGATAATAATTGGCGTATGGACCTCCTCGACTAGGTCAAGGGTTCTATTTTCCACTCCATGTTGATAATATATTATGCACAACTTGTAAACACATTGATACACATCTCATGTATTTAAATAGTCACATATGCAAACAAACACCATCTTAATAAAAGATTTTTGGAACAAATGGTCAAATATTTTCCTAGTGAGCTGAGGTTTAGAAAGATTCAACAGATAGAGACGCTAACTTATACAAAAAGCAGTGCCTTGTTATGTAGTTTCTCAAAGTCAACAAGAAATCTTGCAATTGCGTAAACATCAATTCAAAGAAAAAAAATTTTAAAAAGAAGAAGCGGCTGACAAGCACATTGGTAAAGAAGAAAACAACACAAAACTCGAACTTGGTTAATCTTGCCGTTCATGTCCGCCGTGTCGCTCTAATCCATAATCTCCTCTGCTTTCCTCGAAGGCCTACCGGATCCCTGCATTGCTGTCGTCCTCATGGAGACACTGAACGCCATGTTGTATCTTCATGATCAAGGGCACCTCCACAGAGACATCAAGGCTGGTAATATCTTGATTGACTCCAATGGGTCGGTGAAAGTTGCAGACTTTGGGGTTTCTGCTTCTGTTTATGAGGCCAATTCGAGTGGAGAGTCATCGATTCGGTTAAACGACATTGCTGGGATGCCGTACTGGATGGCGCCTGAGGTGATACACTCGCACAATGGGTACGGATGCAAGGCGGATGTATGGTCTTTTGGGATCACAGCTCTGGAATTGGCTCATGGGGGGCCTCACCTGTCTAACTTGCCTCCTTCAAAGTCTCTGCTTTTGAAGATCACGAAGCGGTTTCGGTTTTCGGATTATGAAAATAGTCACGACAATAATTACAAGAGCAAGAAGTTCTCTAAGGCCTTTAAAGACTTGGTGGGTTGTTGCCTTGATCAGGACCCGAACAAGAGGCCCACTGCAGAGAGGTTGCTTTGCAACTGATTAGGCATGGTTGCTATGGAATGAAGACAAATCCTTGGAACTATTAGACAAATCCTTGGAACTATTGGACAAATCCTTGGAACTATTGGACAAATGCTTGAAAGAATACTGCATTTAATCTCAAGTACTTAGATGCATTCATGTGGGTTTATTATGTGTTCAGAAATTCCCAGCAGACAGGCCAGGAATGTCATCTGCAGTTTTCATGTTGGCGAACGAGGGAGCAAGTTTGGCTTGGCCTAAACAACCTGCTTTCTTTCTGGAAAGATGCTCCATTGATTTGGAGGCAAGGACAAGAAGGAACAATTTTATACAGAAAATGAAATAACCACATCAATGGAAGGTCGATAAAACATGATCTTTTTATGATACTTCCAGTTTTTATGTTATCTTGTTTGTTATAGGATCTAGTTGTAATGCCAATAGGAAAAGAGGACTAATGAAGAACCTATATTGTTATTCAGTGCATAAAACATGATCTGAATGTTCAAAGTCTTGGCAATTCTAGAATTTTATTTCTCTCTGTCTTTGTTTTTGTTTTCTTTTATACCAAATCAATTGTATAACTCAATTATCATTTTATATATTCTTGTGTTCAGAAGGTTTGGTGGGCTGGAACAAGATGGTTTCCGCGATGGAGAAGGTGTGATGCTCTGAGACTGTTTTAGTTGCTTTGCCTGTCTGTCTGTTTAGAATCTGTGTGTTAGTCTCTTTGCTTTGGGTGTTTGGTCCCCTTTCTACATCAGATGAAGGGCATTTCTTTCATCTTCCATGTCTCTCTGCTCCGATATTTTGTCTTGAATTCGTCCAACTTTTTCGATTTACCCTTCTAAAATTAATTTTACAATAGTACTAAAATACCAACAAACAATGGAAAGGTTGACCAGTAATAGGTGAAGGAAGAAGCCTCACTGGAAACTCAATTCCCATTACAACCATTGAAGCTAGATAATAATTGGCGTATGGACCTCCTCGACTAGGTCAAGGGTTCTATTTTCCACTCCATGTTGATAATATATTATGCACAACTTGTAAACACATTGATACACATCTCATGTATTTAAATAGTCACATATGCAAACAAACACCATCTTAATAAAAGATTTTTGGAACAAATGGTCAAATATTTTCCTAGTGAGCTGAGGTTTAGAAAGATTCAACAGATAGAGACGCTAACTTATACAAAAAGCAGTGCCTTGTTATGTAGTTTCTCAAAGTCAACAAGAAATCTTGCAATTGCGTAAACATCAATTCAAAGAAAAAAAATTTTAAAAAGAAGAAGCGGCTGACAAGCACATTGGTAAAGAAGAAAACAACACAAAACTCGAACTTGGTTAATCTTATTATATTTATTAAATAGTCTATCTCTTTGATTTTCTTTCTTTAACTATATCAGTTTGAAAGTAATTTGTGATAAGAAAAAACTATTGGAATTATGGGCACCATTGTAATAAACTTCAATAATTTTAGACCAAGCAACAATGGAAGGGCTGCTACAAGCCCTACAAGGTACAAAATACTTGTCTCCTTCCAATTGGTTTTTTCAAGGCTAAGCTAGAACTTTCCCAATTCTTCAAAAAGAAAATATCACACATGAAGAGCCTTATTACTCTCATCTTCTTTGCCTCTCTAATCCAATTTTCATTCTTGAATTTGTCCACTGCAGCTGATACCATATCTGCATTAGAGTCCATCATGGGCTCAGACACCTTGGTTTCTTCCGGCCAAAGCTTCGAATTAGGACTCTTTTCAGCGGGGAATTCGAAAACCTGGTATCTAGGATTATGGTACAAAAACTTTCCAAATACTGTTCTATGGGTTGCAAACAGAGAGAACCCACTTGCAGGATCAAATGGAGCCTTGACATTAACCAAAAATGGAAGTTTGGTCCTTCTAGACCAAATGAACAACACCATTTGGTCTACCATTTCTTCCCAAATAGTAGAAAATCCTGTTGCACAGCTTTTGGAGACTGGAAACCTTGTTGTCAGAGACAAGGCTGAAACAGGTTCAGAACACTATATATGGCAAAGCTTCAATTTCCCATCAGATACTCTATTACCAGACATGAAGGTTGGATGGGACTTCAGAACAGGCCTCAACAGATTCTTGACTTCTTGGAAAAATGCTAGTGACCCATCTCTTGGAGAATATACATATGGGATTGATAATCTGATGTTGCCTCAGCTTGTTGTTGCCAAAGGATCAAAGAAATTGTTCCGTACCGGGCCTTGGAATGGTATTCGATTTACTGGTACTCCTGATGCTGGGAACAAACGAGTTGTGAAACCAATCTATGTGTATGATACAAATGAGTTGTATTATATGTATGAGGCTACTGATAGCTCTATTCTAACAAGAGTGAAGCTGTCTGAAACTGGTTTGGCCCAGCGGCTGGTGCTGAAGAAGGGAACCACCGAATGGGATGTTATGTATACTTTGCTGAATGACAGGTGTGACAATTACAGGGAGTGTGGAGCAAATGGACTTTGCAAAACTTCCAAGTCTCCAAGTTGTGAGTGCCTGCAGGGGTTTGTTCCGAAATCGCAAAACGAATGGGATGTGCTTAACTGGGAAAGTGGGTGCATTAGGCAGACACCACTGGATTGCCAGAAGGGAGCAGGGTTTTTGAAAGTTCGAAATGTGAAATTGCCAGACCTGTTGGAGTTTCAGGTGAACATGAAAATGAGTGTGGAGGAATGTGAGGCAGAGTGCTTGAGGAATTGTTCTTGTGTAGCTTATGCTAATACAGATATCCGTAATGGAGGAAGTGGCTGTCTGATGTGGTTTGGCGACCTAATTGATATGCGAGAGTTCGTTGAAGAAGATAGTGAGCAAGATATACACATTAGGATGCCACTTTCGGAACTTGGTAAGTCATTGTTTTGCTTTTATAATGTTTTTAGATCCTGATCCTGTTAATTGAAGCCCTTAATCATTAACATGCAGTACATTAGCAAGAGCAGTTGCTGAAATGGCAATAATAAAAGTGTGAATACACCAAACTAAATAAATAGTAATTTGTGAGATTTACTTAGAGAAATCAAACACAAAAATCTGTGATTTAATTTCTCAACGTTATCTATTACATAACATTATCTTTAGGTGGTACCGGCAAGAAGGACAAAAGGGTTATACTTATCTCGGTCATATCAGCAGTTTCTGTGCTTTCTCTTCTGGCTTTGTTATGCTGGTATATACTTCTGAAGAAGAGAGGAAGGAATGTATCCACATCCACAGGTAAGCTTGCATTTGCAGGAATCTAAACCTTTGTACCCTGGAGGAAATCTTATGTATTGACAAAGCCATTGTCATTGGATAATAATGTTTTTCCTTTGTTCTTTTTCTCTTTTTCATGTTACAGGCTCAAGATCAATTAAGGACTGGGAGTTGCCACTGTTTGATTTTAAGACAATTGCAACCGCCACCAATAATTTCTCTCACACAAACAAACTAGGAGAGGGAGGTTTCGGTCCAGTTTACAAGGTAACAGAGCTATAGTTGACGTTAGTGTGCATGAACTTATGAGCTAACATATTTATACTTAATTTTCAGGCCAACCTAACCCGAGAAGACTTCATAGCTGTAAAGAGACTCTCAAAAGATTCTGGGCAAGGTATTGAAGAGTTTAAGAATGAAGTTACAATGATAGCCAACCTCCAACACTGGAATCTTGTTAAACTTTTGGGCTGCTGCATTGAAAGAGAAGAAAGGATGCTTATCTATGAGTACATGCCCAACAAAAGCTTGGACTGCTTTATTTTCGGTATAAGATTATGTCCTCCATTGTTTCGTATTAATTACGTAACCTAAATGTTCATTTACTACTTTTCAGTGAAATTTATGCAATTAAACAGAGTCCTATTTAGCTCTGTTTATGTCACAAAGGAGGAAAACTGAACCAAATGAACTGACGTGATGGATAACTTGTGCAGATCAAAATAGAAAGGTTTTGCTGAATTGGCAAAAGCGATTGAACATTATCATGGGAATTGCTCGAGGACTTCTCTACCTCCACCAAGACTCCAGATTAAGAATCATTCATAGAGACCTTAAGAGTAGCAACATCTTACTTGATGATGAGCTGAACCCCAAAATATCTGACTTTGGCATAGCAAGGATTTTTGGACGCAATCAAACCGAAGCAAAAACAAAACGAGTAATTGGGACATAGTGAGTTACACTAACCTAGACCATGAAAGGAATCCTCGTTTCTGTAACATTAACTAAGTACTTAAGTTGTGTTTTTTTTTTGCATGCAGTGGATATATGTCTCCTGAGTATGCAATTGATGGGAAGTTTTCAGAGAAATCCGATGTGTTCAGTTTTGGAGTGCTTTTGTTAGAGATAGTAAGTGGCAGAAAGAACAGAGGGTTTCATCATCCAGATCACCATCACAGTCTTCTGGGACATGTAGGTATTTAATGCTTATATGCGTGTTCTAATTTTGATCCTCTAGTTTTTCAATGTGTGTGACTAAAGCCATATAATTTTGAATTGTTCCAGGCATGGTTACTGTGGAATGAAAATAAGGGTTTGGAGCTAATAGATCCTTGCTTGGGGTACTCATATGTTGAGTTTGAGGTGCTGAGGTGCATTCAGGTAGGTCTATTGTGTGTTCAAGGGCTTCCAAAAGACAGACCAGTAATGTCATCAGCGGTTGTCATGTTAAGCAATGAAGGAGTAATATTACCTCAACCGAAGGAGCCAGGATTCTTTACAGAACGAAGTTCCATGGACGACACCATAATTAACGAAGGTAAAAGTAGCCAGACAGGAAGCAGTATTACCATTTCAACAGAGGAAGCTAGATAACTGACACATGGCACCTTGGACTCATAATTCGGATTTAACGCATTTTGACATCGATGCTGATGAATTTTCTTGCAAACAGACAGAAAGGCATAACCTCAATGGGAGGTTTATTCAGAAAAGTAAAATGTAAATCTAGACTACCTACTGTTTACAGAGTAATGCACAAGCATCATAAACATGTAGTATTGCATTGTAAGAGACCGGCTGCCACGAGATTGAATATGGGAGTGGCTATAGAATTGTATTCAATTGGTCAAAATAACTAAAGTACTGTATGTGAATTATATGTTCCTGCTGAATATTTTATGCAAATACGGTTCCTTTCCTTCCGAGAAGAATTGCTGAATTTAAGCAGGAGGTGCTGAATTTTTGTTTATCGCAATCGTGACCACACCCAAGAAGGATGTCTCCTTAGTTGGGCTGTTTATCAGATCATTAATGGGTTCCTTAGAAGACTGGGAGTTAAGAGATTAGATCAGAGTGAATAATAATTCAATTGTACAGTTTATCCTTGAAACTCATTGTCTGAGGAGAGTTTCTTTGGGCTCTAGGAGAAGCCACGTGGCTTGTAGCCGTTGGTTTCTTTGGGCTGGTGGGTTAGCGCTAACAACAGTAGCCTTCGGGCAACAACTCAGTCAATTTTTGCCCGTGGGCTTGCATGGACTGGTGGGTCCCATGCCTTGCCCCGGCTGGACTGCGCGTGCTGGAGGGTGGGTTTGTAGCCTCAGGCTGCCATTTGCCCAGGTTTGGGCTTGCGCTGGAGGCGCTCTAAGAGCACTTCCACCCATTTGTCATGGCAAAGGGTAAAGGTAACTTAGGTAAGGCAAGGGCTGTTACTATTCACATGAATAGTGGCGACCCTTGCAAAATGTTTGTTGTGTTTCCACTCATTGCTATGGCAAAGGGCAAATATTATTCACTTAAATTTTTTTTTTTTGTTAAAAAAACTTAAACGATTAATTTGGAGAAGATTTTCGGTTGCCATGTGTGAATATTTATTATAAAATTAGAATGAAATTTTTTTCGGATAAGATTTTATGTATGAGATTTTCACATGGGATTAATTTTATTTATATGTATGAAATTAATAATAATAAAATTGATAGGTTTGTACTTTGTATAAAAAAAAATGTTTTTGAATTTTTTGGAATTTTTCAGATTTCTTTTCGATTTTTTTAAATTTTTTATACGTTGCTAACGTCAACTAGCCCAGGCACAAGCTCGGGCTTGTTTTGTCTTTGGGCCTGCCTGGGCAACTGAAGCCTGTTGGACCTCCCCTTGGGACTTGGGCCCCCTCCTAACCGGGTAGTTCGAACCGCTAGAAGTGTTCTAAGTGGTGAGAAAAGGAACATAAAACAAAGAATAGGAATAAGAAAACACAAGATGTTGGCGTGAGAGAGAGAAGAAGTCATATTTGAAAGGAGAAAAAAGGTAGACAAGATAGAAAGAAGACAAGAAAAGAAAACACTGTTGGGCCATAAGCTGGCAAAAGCAAAAGGAGACCATAAACTTAATAAAGAAAAGAAGAGGCAAGACACCTAGCACGTGGGCAGGAGAAGAAAAGACAGAGAGAGCTCAAGAGATATAGAGCTAGTCGCAAAGGGTGTTGGCGGGCAGAGAGAGAGAAGAACAAAAAAGAAACAAAAGAAAAATCAACACCCACCGAAAAAGAGAGACAAAAAAGTGTTGTTTAATAATATATAGAACCTTTGTAAAAGAAAGAGGAGAAACATAAGGCATCACGGGAGTCACACAGCAGCCAGAAACAAAGGGATGGGACTGGAGATATTTGAAAAGAGAACGCTCAAATGATGCAAACACCAGAGCGGCTGTGCAAAGGGAACCACGGCAGTGTAGCTTGGCAGGACAGAGACAAAGGCCGGCTAGGAGAAGGCTCGCGGAGGAAAGAGACGGCTCGTTGAGCTGTGACGAGGCTTACGGAGGAAAGAGTGTCAAAATAGGGAGAGATATTGAAGGTTGAGTAGAGATAATGGAGAGTGTAGAGAATTTGGGAGCTATGCATATTTTCTGATTTTCAACTTACAACATAAGGCATCACGGGAGTCACACAGCAGCCAGAAACAAAGGGATGGGACTGGAGATATTTGAAAAGAGAACGCTCAAATGATGCAAACACCAGAGCGGCTGTGCAAAGGGAACCACGGCAGTGTAGCTTGGCAGGACAGAGACAAAGGCCGGCTAGGAGAAGGCTCGCGGAGGAAAGAGACGGCTCGTTGAGCTGTGACGAGGCTTACGGAGGAAAGAGATCATGCCATCAATGGCCAAGGGGTGTGTTTCCCATACATTTAAAAGAGAGGCTCGGCTGTGAGCGCAATAGACTGAAGTAACATGGGCTCAATCTGATTTTAATAGAAAGCAAGCTCATAGAGAGAGGAAAAGTAAGAGAAAATGGCAGCGGCAGGCATATGTAGAGAAAAGAAAGGTAATGACAGACTGAACATAAACAAGTAAGGACAGAGACAAGAGTAAAATTGCAGAAAGGCGCGTCTATGGCTGAGGCAGAAGAAATATATGTTGATTATAGAGGAAAGGAGAAACGAGGATTTACAGCAAGATAAAGACCCATTATGGGTTAGAAATGAGGAACGCCAATGACTCTCAATTTGGCAAGAGAATCTCAAGGATTAGCAACTAGGCTCTAATAATATGAGAGAGGCTAGAATATGAGAATGAGAGAAGATAATTTTTCTGGTTTTTAACTTGTATTTTTATAATTTTTCTAATTTTTAACTTGTATTTTTCTTTGTATTACTAACAACGTACTTATACAAGAGAATGACTTGCTAACCAAGCTCATCATTAATTACAAGTAGGCAGCTGGTGTCATTAATCCTACAATAGGCACAGACACGGACTCGTGATTCTAAATTGGGGCGGGCTAAATCTTCAAGAGAGGAGGAGCAGCAAGGCCAGTGGAGGCTCCCGAAGTTGAAAATTGAGTAAGTAAAATTTACATATTATGAAAAATTTTCATGTTAAACTCAACGGTATAAGTGAATTGTATTTTATATTAAAATAAGCAAAATTTACATGTTAAATACAATTTTTTTGGTGAAGAGGCAACATCTATTTTGAGAGAAAAGAGAAAAACAGGCCTAAATACAGAACAAGCACCAAAAACAAAACAAAAAGTATTAAAAACACACTTATAATAAAATTAGGGAGCTGATTTTCCCACTCCCCTTTTCTCCACTTACACTCCCTTTTGTTTTTTAATATTTTTTAATCACTTTTATTCTTTCTCTTTCCTATTCTACCCTTATCTTACTTCACTTTTATATTATTTCTTTTTCTTTATATTTAATTTTCCTACTTACACTTGATTTTCAATAATTTTTTTTTCAATGGATATAGAATTCTTTAAAATTAATATATTACAAAACAAAAACAAAATATTTTCCCCAGCCCCAATAACCCCCTCTCTTCGTCAACCCCCTCCTCCTCCCATCTCTGCACTCCAGCCCCATCGTCCTACTACCAGCAACACCATCCACCACTGCATTGCCCCCCAACACCAACAACATCAATGGCTCGCTCTCCCTCGACTCCTTTTCTCTACCCATCTCTCTGCAAATTAAAAAACAACATCAGTCAAAATCATGCTTTATTCCCACCAAATTCTCAAAAGTCTCTGACTTATTATCCTTCCTTGTAACATTTTTGCTAAGTGCTAAGTGCTAACAAAGAGAAATTTCTAATGCTCGGGTCTGAAGCTTTTTGCTTCAAGTAAGGAGCTTTACACTCTGTGATGCAACTCAACCAATTAAAGGTTTTTTCAACCTACCCCCATGCCGCACCCCACACAGCCACCCGCCCACCGATAGAAATCGTTGCCCCAACGCAGCCACCCACAAACGATCTTACCGCCCCACTGATAGCCACACTCAAACCCCAAAAATTTTAAAAAAACGTGGATGGTTGTTGAAGAAAGAGGGGGAAAGAGAGAAAAAGAGGGAGAGAAAATGAGGAGGGGTGGGCTTGGTTGTTATCGAATAAAGAGGGAAAGGGGGAGAGAGAAGAATTGAGGCTAAGCAGCAAGGCCAGTGGAGGCTCCCGGAGTTGAAAATTGAGTAAGTAAAATTTACGTATTATGAAAAATTTTCATGTTAAACTCAACGGTATAAGTGAATTTTATTTTATATTAAAATAAGCAAAATTTACATGTTAAATACAATTTTTTTGGTGAAGAGGCAACATCTATTTTGAGAGAAAAGAGAAAAACAGGCCTAAATACAGAACAAGCACCAAAAACAAAACAAAAAGTATTAAAAACACATTTATAATAAAATTATAGTATTCTTTACCAACAAACAATTATATATAGTATTGTTTTTTATTTATTTTTCAGACCAAAAAAAAGTATTGTTTATTTTTATACCACCCATGTGTGTCAGCCTGCCCAAGCCCAAAGCAAACATTTGTTTTAAAAAAAAAAATTTCTTTAATCTATGTATTATATTTATTTCTGCCCAAGCCCAAGACACGTGGGTATTTTTTCTAAAGATTGAGGAGGGCTAAAATTTACTTTGGGCTAATAAAAAAATAAAATTCCCCCCGGCTATAGCCCAAGTGAGGCTGTACTAAGGTCCGTGCTAGCTTTTGGTTTCCAACTCCTGGAGATTGCAGCAACAGCCTACTAAAGTCAAGCCAATTTAATGCTTTCACAACACAAGTCAACAAGTCCCACCTTTCCTCCTTTCAACTGTTTCAATACCTCCATCATTTTCTTTTGGGAGATTAACTATTATACCGAGAGCCCAAATTATTTAAAAAAATCTTGGCTATATGAAATGGATTTTAGAAACACACACAAAATTCATTCACAACATAACAAAAAGGCTTTTAACTTCTTTTAAATTACAAAATTGTCATTGATTTTTTAAAACAAACCCAACTCCAAAACCTCATAAAAAAACCCAAAAAACTCAATAGTGCATCAAAGTAATTTAATAATCAAAATTAAATTCAATAAGGCCAGCTATTATTTTTTGGGTGTGTTTTCAGAAATTAAATTATGTAGGGTTTATTTATAATTTTAGTGCTTTGATGCATGAAGATGAAGAATAGATGTGAACCATTCAAATCAATCGTACAGTCAAAAATTCAATTTCGTAACCACTACGCAATATGGGACTTCGCAATGGAGAAGCGACCTATAACTAAATATCTCTTTTCTTTTCTACCTCTCGCATTTCTTATTTCCAAGTCTTTTTTTTTTTTTTTTTGTTCAATTATTTCCAAGTCTTCTCCTCTCTTCTTCTTCTTCTTACCTTCTCTCTCTCTCTCTCTCGCTCTCTCTCATTATCTTCTCCCTCCCGCCAGCCACTCACCTCTCTTAGCTCTAAAGGAAATCAGATTCATCATTGAGGAAGATCCCTTAGGCTAGGTGAGTCATCCTTTTATAATTGTGGATTTGAAAGCTTAAGGCAAGAGGGGAAGAATGGGAGGAGGGTGGGCTGATGCCCTCCACGTTTCAGACTCTGTTACGATTGGTGTGGACAAAGAAGTAGACGTTTACTCCCTCGATTTTGCTAATCTCTCTCTGGGTCAAAATATTCAAGCGTAGAAAATTGAAAATCAGCTGGCAACTTAGCGTAGCAAATAAGGTGGTCAAAATAGCATTATAATAATTGTAACATTGAGAAGGGCTGGCTTCGAAGTCCAAAGTTCCAGTCACCTTTCCATTTCTGGAAAGGAACACAAATGAAAGTCCTTGCTTTAATCCTCTCTACCTCTCTACTCTATTTTTTAGTCTTACAATTGTCCGGAGCAGCTGATACAATCTCTGCAGCACAATCCATCACCAGCACTAATACCTTGGTTTCTTCCGGCCAAAGCTTCGAATTAGGACTCTTCTCCGAGGGCAATTCAGAGGCCTGGTATTTAGGAATATGGTACAAGAATTTTCCAAATATTGTTGTATGGGTTGCCAACAGAGAAAAACCAGTTGCAGATTCACATGGATCCTTGAAATTATCCAAAAATGGAAGTCTCGTCCTTTTAGACCAAATGAACAATACTATTTGGTCTTCCAATTCTTCCCAAGTAGCAGAAGACCCTGTTGCACAACTTTTGGAGAACGGAAACCTGGTTGTCAGAGAAAAGGATACAATAGATTCAGAAGGCTACATATGGGAAAGTTTCAATTTACCATCAGACACTCTGCTACCAGAAATGAAGGTTGGATGGGACTTCAGAACAGGCCTGAACAGATACTTGACTTCTTGGAAAAATGCTAGTGACCCATCTCTTGGAGAATATACCTATGGGATTGATAATCCGATTTTGCCTCAGCTTGTTGTTGCCAAAGGATCAAAGAAATTGTACCGTACCGGGCCTTGGAATGGTGTTCAATTTTCTGGTACTCCTGATTCTGGGAACATACGAGTTGTGAAACCAATCTATGTGTATGATACCAATGAGTTCTATTATACGTATGAGGCTACTGAGAGTTCTATTCTAACAAGAGTGAAGCTGTCTGAAACTGGTTTGGCCCAGCGGCTAGTGCTGAATAAAGGAAGCACCGAATGGGCTGTTATGTATACTTTGCTGAATGACAGGTGTGACAATTACAGGGAGTGTGGAGCAAATGGAATTTGCAAAACTTCCAAGTCTCCAGGTTGTGAGTGCCTGCAGGGGTTTGTTCCAAAATCGCACAATGAATGGGATGTGCTTAACTGGGAAAGTGGGTGCATTAGGCAGACACCACTGGATTGCCAGAAGGGAGCAGGGTTTTTGAAAGTTCGAAACGTGAAATTGCCAGACCTGTTGGAGTTTTGGGTGAACACGAAAATGAGTGTGCAGGAATGTGAGGCAGAGTGCTTGAGGAATTGTTCTTGTGTAGCTTATGCTAATACAGATATCCGTAATGGAGGAAGTGGCTGTCTGATGTGGTTTGGCGACCTAATTGATATGCGAGAGTTCCTTGAAGAACATGGTGAGCTAGATATACACATTAGGATGCCATTTTCGGAACTAGGTACGTCATTGTTTTGCTTTTATAATGTATTAGATCCTGATCCTGTTAATTTAAGCCTTTAATCATTAACATGCAGTACATAAGGTTAGAGGAATTTTGGCATGCCTAAATGTTATCCATTACATAACAAAATCTTTAGGTGGTACCGGCAAGAAGGACAAAAGGGTTATACTTATCTCGGTCATATCAGCAGTTTCTGTGCTTTCTCTTCTGGCTTTGTTATGCTGGTATATACTTCTGAAGAAGAGAGGAAGGAATGTATCCACATCCACAGGTAAGCTTGCATTTGCAGGAATCTAAACCTTTGTACCCTGGAGGAAATCTTATGTATTGACAAAGCCATTGTCATTGGATAATAATGTTTTTCCTTTGTTCTTTTTCTCTTTTTCATGTTACAGGCTCAAGATCAATTAAGGAGGACTGGGAGTTGCCACTGTTTGATTTTAAGACAATTGCAACCGCCACCAATAATTTCTCTCACACAAACAAACTAGGAGAGGGAGGTTTCGGTCCAGTTTACAAGGTAAGAGAGCTATAGTTGACGTTAGTGTGCATGAACTTATGAGCTAACTTATTTATACTTAATTTTCAGGCCAACCTAACCCGAGAAGACTTCATAGCTGTAAAGAGACTCTCAAAAGATTCTGGGCAAGGTATTGAAGAGTTTAAGAATGAAGTTACAATGATAGCCAACCTCCAACACTGGAATCTTGTTAAACTTTTGGGCTGCTGCATTGAAAGAGAAGAAAGGATGCTTATCTATGAGTACATGCCCAACAAAAGCTTGGACTGCTTTATTTTTGGTATAAGATTACATCCTCCATGTTTCGTATTAATTACGAAACCTAAATGTTTATTTACTACTTTTCAGTGAAATTTATGCAATTAAACAGAGTCCTATTTAGCTCTGTTTATGTCACAAAGGAGGAAAACTGAACCAAATGAACTGATGTGATGGATAACTTGTGCAGATCAAAATAGAAAGGTTTTGCTGAATTGGCAAAAGCGATTGAACATTATCATGGGAATTGCTCGAGGACTTCTCTACCTCCACCAAGACTCCAGATTAAGAATCATTCATAGAGACCTTAAGAGTAGCAACATCTTACTTGATGATGAGCTGAACCCCAAAATATCTGACTTTGGCATAGCAAGGATTTTTGGACGCAATCAAACCGAAGCAAAAACAAAACGAGTAATTGGGACATAGTGAGTTACACTAACCTAGACCATGAAAGGAATCTTCATTTCTGTAACAGTAACTAATTAAGTACTTAAGTTGTGTTTTTTTGCATGCAGTGGATATATGTCTCCTGAGTATGCAATTGATGGGAAGTTTTCAGAGAAATCCGATGTGTTCAGTTTTGGAGTGCTTTTGTTAGAGATAGTAAGTGGCAGAAAGAACAGAGGGTTTCATCATCCAGATCACCATCACAGTCTTCTGGGACATGTAGGTATTTAATGCTTATATGCGTGTTCTAATTTTGATCCTCTAGTTTTTCAATGTGTGTGACTAAAGCCATATAATTTTGAATTGTTCCAGGCATGGTTACTGTGGAATGAAAATAAGGGTTTGGAGCTAATAGATCCTTGCTTGGGGTACTCATATGTTGAGTTTGAGGTGCTGAGGTGCATTCAGGTAGGTCTATTGTGTGTTCAAGCGCTTCCAAAAGACAGACCAGTAATGTCATCAGCGATTGTCATGTTAAGCAATGAAGGAGTAATATTACCTCAACCGAAGGAGCCAGGATTCTTCACAGGAAGAAGTTCCCTGGACGATACCATAATCAACGAAGGTAGCAGTAACCCGACAGGAAGCAGTATTACCATTTCAACATTGGAAGCTAGATAACTGACACATGCCAACTTGGACTCATATTTCGGATTTAACGCATTTTGACATGGATGCAGATGAATTTGCTTGCAAACAGACAGAAGGGCATAACCTCAATGGGAGGTTTATTCAGAAAAGTAAAAGGTAAATCTAGACTAACTACTGTTTACAGAGTAATGCACAAGCATCATAAACATGTAGTATTGCATTGTAAGAGACCGGCTGCCACGAGATTGAATATGGGAGTGGCTATAGAATTGTATTCAATTGGTCAAAATAACTAAAGTACTGTATGTGAATTATATGTTCCTGCTGAATATTTTATGCAAATACGGTTCCTTTCCTTCCGAGAAGAATTGCTGAATTTAAGCAGGAGGTGCTGAATTTTTGTTTATCGCAATCGTGACCACACCCAAGAAGGATGTCTCCTTAGTTGGGCTGTTTATCAGATCATTAATGGGTTCCTTAGAAGACTGGGAGTTAAGAGATTAGATCAGAGTGAATAATAATTCAATTGTACAGTTTATCCTTGAAACTCATTGGCTGAGGAGAGTTTCAGAGACCAACTTCAATCGGTGGAGAACGGAATGGGACCCTTGGCAGGGGTTTGAAAGATTATATCAGCAACTTGGAGTTAGGGGTTAATTAGTTGAAACATAATACTAGCACCTTGGTTAGAGCATCCACAGCGAGGAGGTGTAAATTTGGGAGTGTAAGTCACTTTTACATCCCCTTTACACCTTCGGGGGATGTACATGTAATTTTTGCTATAATGGGAAAGATGTAAATATAATGATGTATATTTGATTTTTTGTTTTTGTGTGTTAACATTTTGAAAATAATTTTGTGTGTGTTAGATTTATTTTATTTTTCTAAACAAATAAACCTTAAAATATTTAAATTCAGATAAGTTATGAAGAGTGGTGATTTTTGTGAACAAAGGTTGTGCTTATCTATATATATAAAGCAAAAGGCAAAGAATGGTAAAATATTTAAAATACCAGAAAATGCTCTTGATTAATGCAAACATTAAGAATTGAAATTATTAATTAAATGAGAATAATATGGTAAATTCACATTTTTTTTATATTTAAAAAATTAAAATTAAAAGAAAAATCAGATAATAGATCATATTTTTATGGAACACAACTACCCATTATCTTTTTTAATTCTAAAATAAATTTATTTATTTTTTAAAAAAGCCTTTTGCAAGTGCGGAAGAGAGTGCAGAGAGGCTAGTATATAGAAAATTAGAAGAAGAAAAATTAGGCCTTCTTTCGCATTAATTTCAGACAATTAGATGATTTTGGGGTTTGTTTAGAAATTGTTTGGGCCTTTAGATTAATGATTTTGGGGTTTGTAAAAAATTGGAGCCGTAGGATGTTTTATTTGTTGTAGCACTAATTCAAATGCCTTTAAATCAAGAGCACTAAGCCACAAGTGGGGCCCGAACTAAGTTATGTTGGGCGACTGAAGTTGTATTTGATAGTGTGGGGCGCGTAATTCCAGAAACATTGCTACTATTCTCTCTTCTCTCTCCTCCTTTATCAGTCGTGGGATCCGCTTCTGGGATGTGAAAAAAGATGTAAACTTCCATCCCTTTTTGCATCTTAGCCTGAGAATGCAAATGTACAACTATTGGAGCTGATTCCGGTGATAGGGGGTGTAAATCTGATATACACCCCCTTTTAGAGGCGACCACCGTGGATGCACTTACTAGTGATCCAAGAGAAACCTTCACCTTTATGAAAACTGAAATGCTAGTCAATCTCGAAGTTCATGGAAAATCGAATGAATTAACGGTGATTTTGAGTGTTCGATTGCGGAGTGTTGTCACCAATAATGAAAGACATGCACGTTTTGCTGTTGATTCTTGTCATAATTTTCACCTAAGAGATGAACAGTAGCGCGTGGTTGAAGGAACAGAACAGTCAACCCAATCTGCATCATTTTCCCTAAAAATAGTAATGCCATCCAACCCTCAATAAAAAATTCACAAAAGATCCATAAAATCCAGATATTTGACCAAGTATTTATAAAGAAATCAGTGCCAGTTCACAGCAGATATAGTCCAAAGTTCAAAGTTCACAGCAGATATAGCATAGCATATAAGGTGGTCAAAATAGCATTATAATAATTGTAACATTGAGAAGGGCTGGCTTCAAAGTCCAAAGTTCCAGTCACCTTCCCATTTCTGGACAAGGAACACAATTGAAAGGCCTTGCATTAATCCTCTCTACCTCTCTACTCCATTTTTTGGTCTTACAATTTTCCAGAGCAGCTGATACAATCTCTGCAGTACAATCCATCACCAGCACTAATTCCTTGGTTTCTTCCGGCCAAAGCTTCGAATTAGGACTTTTCTCCGCGGGAAATTCAGGGGCCTGGTATTTAAGAATATGGTACAAGAATTTTCCAAATATTGTTGTATGGGTTGCCAACAGAGAAAATCCAGTTGCAGATTCACATGGATCCTTGAAATTATCCAAAAATGGAAGTCTTGTCCTTTTAGACCAAATGAACAATACTATTTGGTCTTCCACTTCTTCCCAAGTAGCAGAAGACCCTGTCGCACAACTTTAGGAGAATGGAAACCTGGTTGTCAGAGAAAAGGCTACAACAGATTCAGAAAGCTACATATGGGAAAGTTTCAATTTACCATCAGACACTCTGCTACCAGAAATGAAGTTGGGGTGGAACTTCAGGACAGGCCTTAACAGATTCTTGACTTCTTGGAAAAATGCTAGCGACCCTTCTCCTGGAGAATATACTTATGGGATGGATAATGTTCTGTTGCCTCAGCTTGTTATTGCCAAAGGATCAAAGAAAATGTTCCGAACCGGACCTTGGAACGGTCTTTGGTTTACTGGTACTCCTGGTTTAGCAGCTACATACAGATCTGTCGTGAAACCAATTTTTGTGTATAATACGAATGAGTTGTACTATTCATATGAGTCTTTTAATAGTTCTACCATCACAAGATTGAAGCTGAGTGAATCGGGTTTGATCCAGAGGCTAGTGGTCACCGAAGGAAGCACTGAATGGGCTGTTATGTATACTTTGCAGAATGATGAGTGTAATAGTTATGGACTGTGTGGAGCAAATGGCATTTGCAGAATTAGTAAATCACCCATTTGTGAGTGCTTGCACGGGTTTGTTCCGAAATCACCAGACGAATGGGGAGTGCTGATTGGACAAGTGGGTGTATCAGGGAGACACCACTGAGTTGCCAGAAAGGAGAAGGGTTTTTGAAAGTTCGAAATGTGAATGTTGAAAGTTAAACCAAGCAGGAATCCAAAGCTACTTTATCCATTTTGTAAATGCATGTGAGCATGCTGTCGGCTAGATCTGATTGGACAAGTGGGTGTATCAGGGAGACACCACTGAGTTGCCAGAAAGGAGAAGGGTTTTTGAAAGTTCGAAATGTGAAAGTTGAAAGTTAAACCAAGCAGGAATCCAAAGCTACTTTATCCATTTTGTAAAAGCATGTGAGCATGCTGTCGGCTAGACTTGGTTTGTTTATTAACTCAATAGGGTATTTTGTTTTACCCTATAGGCATGATGTCGGTTGATGTCCTCTAGGGAACTTTTCTCTTTTGACTAAAAGTTTGTCTCTCAAAGAGACGTTGGTCTCTTGTTTTGTAATGAGAGTGTTGTTGTAAAAACTATTATTATTGAATGTGAACTCATCAGATGAAAAAAGCCTTTCTTCCATATTCTCTCTGAGTTTCAAGCTAGAGTCTTCTTCCTTCTATTCTCTTCCGTGTCTGTGAGTTTTTACTTGCTTGCTGTGTTGTTTGGTTGTTTGTTTGTGAGTTAGCTGCCGTGAGTTTTTTTTAGTTTATTCTACATCTGGTATCAGAGCTGAGGCTCAAGAAGGATGGCAAACAGAAATGACTTTGTGCAGTGCCCTGTTGGTAAATTTGATGGGAAGGGGAACTTCCAATA